CTTAAGAAAGGGTTTTGGAGTTATACTCTTGAATGGATCTTTTTTCTTCAGTCCTCATTATACGTAGAAGATTTTTACTGACTGGGAAGACTGAAGATAAACAATTTTTTACATCCCAGAAAATTATGTCCCCTCTGTATTCCCTCAAAATTCTCCTTGCAGACTGGCCAGTTCTTTATTTAGCCCATTTCCTTCTTCCTGTACCTATATGTAGCTAGGACCAACCAGCTGACATTTCCACATTTTGTGGAGCTCTCTAGAGCCAAAATCCAAAGTTAATTATATACATTTGTCATCTTTCATGTTCCTGTAGGTAATACTTTTGTTTATTATTTTATTCTAAGAAACACAGATTACCATTTTTTCTTGGGGAGTGGGAGAGGGAGAAGCAGGCTTCCCACCGAGCAGGGAGCCCGATGCAGGGCTCAATCCCAGGATCCTGGGATCATGACCCAAGCTGAAGGCAGACGCTTAACGACTGAGCCACCCAGGCGCCCCAGATTACCATTTTTCTAACCTTCAATAACAATTTGCTTTATTTCCCCCAGCATTTGCTAAGAGTTTGTTTGCCATTTTTTCAGCCTCTACTTAGTACTCACTGCCAATGGCACTTATTTTAGATTTTTGTCATGGCAGCACCTCAATTCTAGGAACCAATTATTTCTGCATCAGTTAGTTTTTGCTGTTTAAAAAAATCACAGAATTTAGTGGCTTAAAACAATAGCCTTTTTTTTTAAAGTTTTTTAGCTCATAATCCTGCTAATCATTAAATTGGGCTGGACTCAGTTGAACTTGTGTCTGTAGTCAGCTGCCAGGTCAGTTGGGGGCTGCTTAGTATAAAATGGCCTCAGCTAAGGCTACTCATCTTGGACCATGTGTTCTCTCATCATCCAGCAGGATAGCCTGGGCTTGTTCTCATGGTGACTGCTTAGAGTTCCAAGAAATTGAATAAAGGCAAGCAGTCTTTGAGACCTCGAATTTCAACCAGTACACTTTCACTTCTGTATTATGTTGACCAAAAGAAGCTATAGGGCCAGCCAAGATTTAGGAGAAGGGAAAACAGACTTAGTTCTTGATGTGAAGAGGTGCAAAGTAACATATTAAAGGGCACAGATAAAGCAAAGAAGGATTTAAGGCTCTTTTTGCAACATACCGTACTATACCGTATCTCACTATCAGTAAATCTTGTTACAATTACTGTTTTCTCAAGAAACACAACAGAGTAATTATTATTCCTTCCAGAAAGGATGACTGTGGTCTCACCAAAACTTCTCCGCTTCCTTGGGGATTTACCTTGACTTTCTGACCTACACATGTTAGCATTCTACTGCTGATTCTCCTCAGTAGTCTACTTGTTTCGGTAGGCAACTCCCAATATGACTCTTGCCTATCTGCCCATCTCCAGCTCTGTGCAACTCTACCTGGTTGGATCTAGACCTGTGGACTTAGTTCTGGAATGGCCTATGATGCTTCATCCACCTCATAGTCATCATTACCATCTGTCAGCCTGTTGTTGGAAGGGATGCCCACCTACCTAATCTCTGCAAGTCCTGTCTCAGTGGTGAACAGTCCAAAGACCTCTTTTCTCTTCATGTACTTCCTTCTGATTAGCTCGGTGATTGGGGTTTTCCCATGAATGACAAGTTATTTAAACAAATAAAATGTGTAAAATGTGTAATGTATTTAAAAAAATTTTATAATCTGAAGGGGAAAATAAGTCTAACTTTGATGATTGAGGGTCTTGTATTTTGTCAAGGTGATTATTCTACCTCAAAATTTCCTTCATTTAACATTTTTGCTTAAAGATACACGGGTGGGATTGAATCAATGTAAGGTAACAGGGCTTCCAAAAAAAAGTAGAAATCACCTTTATTATGTATTTTGTATAACAAATAAGTAATTTATCTACAATATAGTTAATTAACAATTCATTTGTTAATAATTAATTGACCTAACTGGTGGTAAATTTTCTCAACACTCCACAGAAGAGTCATGTTGATTTCATGTAGTGGTAGAAGTTTTTGCAAGAATGATTATCTGCTCTACCAGCTACACAGTGAACCCAGTGATGCAACCATTTATATATAAACATATTGTGAGAGTTGCTTCTCTGGAGAAGCACCCTGAGCTGAGTGATTCACCCGTATTTTAGCTCTATAAGAAGATTCAGTAGGAATGACGTGGCACTTCTGATACTGAGCACCTCTATTGGGCAGAGTTTATGAGTACTATCTCAGAAGGGACCTACATTCATCTATGCTTATTTATCCATGCAATTTCTTAGGCATTTAAAAAATAGCTGTAGCAACTGCTTATATATAACTTTGATATAAATAGTCTTGAGTCTAATCTTCTGTGGTTAGGGTAGCATCTAGTTTCACACCATGTATATACCCCATGGAGACAGTAATTAAAATAGGCAAAACTTGTTGGAGATGGCTTTCTTCAAAAACTAGCCATGTAGAGAAAAGGAATAGAGCCCCTACCCTCTCCAGTGGTGTTAACTCCATGAGTTTTGGTTAGCCAGAAGAAAGATCATATGGGATAGAAATATTCAAGTAATATAATACAAGTGGAGGATCCTATTTTTCCTCCTACAGTGAAATAAAACTTGAGAAAGTTTACTTGAAAGATATAGTTGAAGGCACTCAATATTTATTGAATGATTGATTAATAACCTCCCTTCCGAGATTGTATGATAATTGACCTTATTTTAATGATTGTGAGAACTGCATTTTTTTTCTACACTGATGAAAATGGTGAGGAGGATAAAACAGGGTTATATCTATCTGATATGTGTGTGTTACCTACTTGTTAGCAGTTAGGTTGTCTCTGAGCTCTCTGACAGCTGAGGCCATTCTATATTGTAACATTCATATAAAAATGGTCTGAACCCTCATATCATGTATATAGAAATCTTTTAAATCTTTACAGTATCTCCCATGATTTTTGAGGAGCTTTTTTGATAATGTTGTGAACAGTGGTAGGAGAAAAGTTTTCAATAGTGTCTATGAAAAATAGAAAAGAGAGTGGACTGAGAAAACCAGAAGGATTTTCAAGCAGGTATGAAAGTCCCTGTAGAGTTTATACACACTTGGATTCATCAGTTATCTGCTCGCTTCACTTCTATCAGGCTACTGAAGAATACACAATCTCACAAATCCATTCAACTTTAAAACTCACAGCCTGTAACTTTAACTGTGATTAATCCAAGTGTGTATAAAGTCTATAGGGAAATTAGCAAAACAAATACTGATTTTAAAATAATGATTGTAGGGGCACCTGGCTGGCTCAGTGAGTAGAGTGTGCAAGTGTTGATCTCAGGGTGATGAGTTTAAACCCCACATTGGGTGTGGAGCCTACTTAAATAAAATAATGGTTGCAAATTACTTTTTTTGAGATTCCTTGGCTTTCAATAAGAAGTTCTACATGAAGAAGTCTCTAGGATTGCTAACCCAATTCCATTTTAACAGAAGCCTCCAGGTAACTTTGGAAGCAAACTATTTGTTTCAAAAAAGAACACAAAAGTTGAAGCCTAAGTACCTGTACTTAAGCCCAGAAATTGTTGTAAATTAATGTAAGGCTTTAGTTACTTTACTACTTTGATTCTCAATTCTTCAGTCATTAGTAAGTTTGCTTTTTGTTCTTTTGTGTTTTTATGGGTAGTTCTTTTCCAAAAAAGATATGGAATGTACTTGACAATGTTCAAATAAGGTTTATTATTGAAGGTACAGAATACCAAAGGCCACACATCCATTGGAATGGAGAGTAAAATCACATTGTACTGGGCGCCTGGGTGGCTCAGTTGGTTAAGCAACTGCCTTCGGCTCAGGTCATGGTCCTGGAGTCCCTGGATCGAGTCCCGCATCGGGCTCCCTGATGGCGAGGAGCCAGCTTCTCCCTCTAACCCTCCCCCCTCTCATGTACTCTCTCTCATTCTCGCTCTCTCAAATAAATAAATAAATCTTTAAAAAAAATAAAATAAATAAAATAAAATCACATTGTACTTAAGAACTATTTAAAACTCCATTTTGTGTTTACTTGTGAATAATTAATCTCTGATTTTTTTCATGAGTCATAAAATAATTTTGAGATGATACTGAATTTAAATTAAAAAATTTGCAAATGAAAACCACAAGAATCCTTTATAGTTCACACACACATATACATGCACAGTATAGGTGATGAAGAGTATTCCTCCTCCATAAAATTAAATAGTTTCACTAAGAATTTTATCCTAAAAGGAACAAATATACGTATGTGTGTATATATATGCAAATTGGCCTTTACTTACTTTAAATAAAAAATAGCTTGAATTTTTGGTTGATTCATGGATTTAAAGGATTTAAAGTATACCATTACAAAGCCAAGAAATTATCCCATTACAAAGCCAAGAAATTATTAAGCAATGTTTTTGAGAATTGGTAATGTTACAGCAATATATATTTTTTAAAGCCCCCAGTGCAATATTTAGCAAATCAGTATTTATTTTGGAATAGTGGTAAGATAGTCAATTACACATTGGAAAAACATGTATTTTAAGTATATAAGTTATAGAAATTGCTAATATACCCACTTCAGTTTGAGCTCTAGTGGAAAGTCAATGCTTAGAAAATGCAAAAGGGGAACAATTACTAAAGCAATTATTTTCAATGTCTAAGACATTACATGGTTATATTTTTGAAACCAAAACTGTATGTGGATAACTTTTTAATTTTTCTAGCAAAAGCTAGATATACTCCTAAAATAAAGTTGCATATGATTTACAAATATATCCTCATTCATCTGTGTTCTCTGGTCTTTTATCGATAGTCAGTAAAACATTAAGATTTTGAAACTTAACATTGAAGAATAGTTCAGCCCTAAAATGAAAGCTACTTTAACATGAATTCCTTTCAGCTCATGAAATATTTGTTTTGTTTCATGCATATTAGTGCATTGGCTTCTCTCCTTGAGTCTCCAATATGAATTTTAACAAAATTTGAACATTTCTTTTGCAGCATGGAATCTGAGGAGCAGAATAAGATGGTGGCATGAGCAGAGACTTCTAAGGTAGGCAGACCTCCCTTACCACCTCAGCCCAGGCTGCTGATTGACATTCTCTTATATCAGACCTCAGGGCAGTATCTGGTCAAAATCCTTATTCGTCCAAGTAATTCATCCAGTAAATAAATGTTTCTTCTTATCTATCAACTGTAATGGAAGTGTGCTATCAGAACAATTACAAGTCTTACAAAGTTTAACCAGAAAGCCTAGAAGTGTACAGTAGAACTTGTTTAAAGGTGTTGCCAAAGGTGCATCAAGGTGAACATGGCTCTTGTCTTTTGGTGAGGACACAACAGAGGGTATCCTGAACAGGAAAAAGATGCCTACCTCTGGAGGTATGAAGGTGACTGTCCAGCACTCATGGAGGTCATAAAAAAGCTCAGGAAAAAAAATCAGAAATTTGTGAGATTCCTTAAGGCATGAAGCAATATGCTTCTTCTGAGAAGAATCAACTGCAGTTCGGATTTGGTGTGGACTCAGGCCTTCACTCAGATCAGGAATGAGGGCAATTCACTTCAGATGGGAAAACAGTGAAGCACTTTAGAGAATTAATCTCTCAGTTTGCCCTGCTGGTACATTGTACATCCTCTTTGGGTTTACAAGGTTCTGTCTAGGAAAGATAGAATGTAGCACGTCATAAATATGCCTGCAAGAATTGGTACATAATGTCCGACATATTCAGAAATGGAATCCAGACTCTTAATTCCGTTGACCATGATGGCTTTCCAGTTAAATGTTGTAGCTGATTTTTATGTACCTACATAGACTTACATGACAAGTATTTGTCTCAATTTTATGATATGCACTGGATATCAAATTAAAAAGGACAGCAACCTTGAAACTGCCTTTTGTAGCTTATTTGGAAACCTATTTTCTTATGTAATCACAAAGAAGGAAACCTTTTATAATTTGACTAATTGTAATAGTAATCTATCCTTTTCAGAAAAATGCCTTTGTCAGATATACCTAAATATACCTAGTCCTCTCCCCATAATTCCTAGAACAGGTAACAGGTTATACTTTGATTCTTCCTGAATAAGTATCTGATTATACTATAATATACAAAATATATAATGTATATATTAGTTATATAGATAATATATACATATTAGCCATTTCTTAATAAAGAGCAAATCCATTGTAATATTTACTGATACCTTCACAAGTTTATTTGTGAAAACAAACAACCCCAAACTCTTAGTGACTTAAAACTGGAAAGATTATGTATTTTTTACCCTACATGTCCTTTTCAGTTCAGTGGGGGAAGAACGCTCCTTCATGTTGTCCTCACTAAATGAACAAGCTGATGGAGCAGCCACTATTTGAACACTGTCTTTCACTCTGGTGGGAGGAGGGCGAGTTACAGTGAAATACGTAGCACATTATTTCTGTTAACATTTTATTGGCCAAAGTAAATCATATAGCCATGCCTAACTGCAGTGAGGGAGGAAAGTGCAGTCCAGCCAGAACCTTGGTTTTGGTAAAATCCCCGATGACTCTCTCAGAGACAACTTGGCAAATCACTCAAACAATGCATAGCTCTGACCTGGCAATTTCGTTTCTAGGAATTTATACTGTGACACAAGCATGTTCATTTCTGTGTTATTTGTAATAGCAAAAAGTAAAATCCTCAGGAAAGGTTTCTGGTTAAATAAATTCATGTTAAACTCATTCATTTGGTTACCTTAATAGCCTTTAAACAATGAGTGGGATATATTTGAATTAACATGGACATTTATTTTATTTTTATTTTTTAAAGATTTTATTTATTTATTTGAGAGAGCGCACATGAGAGGGGGGAGGGTCAGAGGGAGAAGCAGGCTCCCAAGGAGCAGAGAGCCCGATGCGGGACTCGATCCCAGGACCCTGGGATCATGACTTGAGCCGAAAGGCAGACGCTTAACCATCTGAGCCACCCAGGCGCCCAATGTCCTTTTCTGGAAAGGAAGAGGCTTACCAAGGACAAGGGCCTGAAGAGAAAGTTGTGCCTCCTGCTCTTGCAGTGAGCTGAGGGTGCATCTATTCACTGGCAGGGCCAAGAGGTAATTTTGCCTTTGCATAAACAAGGTGTGCTTTGCTGTCTCAGGTTAGATGGTGTGCTGGGGTGGGGGTGGGGGCATGGAGTACGGGCGTTCTTGCACAGTATATCCACAGAGGGCTGTCCTCTAGTTGGTGGCAATAGCTGTTCTTTGCCAGTTTTCTTTTCTTTTTTTTTTTTTTTAAGATTTTATTTATTTATTTGAGACCGAGAGAATGAGAGAGAGAGAGCACATGAGAGGGGGGAGGGTCAGAGGGAGAAGCAGACTCCCCGCCGAGCAGGGAGCCCGATGTGGGACTCGATCCCGGGACTCCAGGATCATGACCTGAGCCGAAGGCAGTTGCTTAACCGACTGAGCCACCCAGGCGCCCAACATGGAAATTTATTTTAAGAGAATATTGTTAATAAAGTGTATGTGTGATGGTGGTGGCGGTAGTTGTGGTGTTTGTGTGTGTGACTGTGTGTGTGCACACGTGTGTGGGCTCATACATGCAAATCACTTAGAACAGTGCTTGACAAAAATAATAATAGTAGCTAACACTCATATGCAATTTATCATAGATAAGGCAGTCTTCTATACGTTGTAAGTCTTAAGTCATTTGATACAACAATCATTTGAAGTGATATTATTCTCAATTTTCAAATGAGGAAACTTACAAATAGTATCTGATTGAACAATTTCTAGAATGATATTTAAGAAATTGTAATGAGTGTCTTTGGAGAGTGGTTCTGAGATGTAGTGTTTTTTTTTTTTTAATTCAATATATTGCTTTCTGTTGCTTTTAGAATTTTTACCATGATCACATGTTATTTTAATAGTAAAGCTCTGGTAATATGAATAGATGCCATGACAATGAACCAAAAGGAGCTGACTCATTCCTGCTAGAATGTATGTATTCCTCTGTACCTTGATGAAGTGAATTTTTTTCTAGTAGGGAAAATACTTAAAGACTGAAACTTTCAACTCCAATTCTTCCCTTTGTCATAGTTAAGCAAAGACTGAGCTAGCTGGTTGTTCTTAATACCGTGTTATGTATTTGCATGTGATGATCTGTGATAGGCTTGATTATTGTCCCTATTTTCTCTTTCTGGATTCTGCATTCCTGTACTGTTGTCATCAAGCTTGACTAAGTGACTGGCTTTAGAAGTGGTGTGTACTGCTTTGAAGCAGAGTTCTGAAGAGTCGTTGTGAGGCTATAGTCTTGGTCTTTTCTCTCTGTGGTGGGAAGGGCAATGTCCAGACAGGGGCTGGGCTGCTTCTGGATCTTGGGGTGAAGAGATCATGAAAAACAACTGTAGAAAATATAACATGAGTGAGAAATTAGAAGTAAACTTTGTTGGGGGCGCCTGGATGGCTCAGTTGGTTAAGGATCCGAATCTTGATTTTGGCTCAGGTCATGATCTCGGGGTTGTGAGATCCAGCCCCGTGTTGGGCTCTGTGCTCACTGGGGAGCCTGTTTAAGATTCTCTCTCTCCCTCTCCCCCTCCTTCCCCCACTCCCACCCCTGCTCTTTCTCTCTAAAAAATAATAAATAAACCTTGTTGTGTCAAGGCATTGAGAATGAATCATTTACTACCATGGCATAAACCAGTAAAAGTAAAAATACACGGACCTCAGAGAAATTATTAAGAAAGCAGAATTGGAGAAAGTATACTTTCTAACAATCCTCTGGGATCAGGATTCTGGGACATTTTAGCCTTTTGTGCTTTTTGTTATTTTTGTATTACAGTATTAGCTCTTGGAACTGCTTTACCTGAAGTTCTCTATTACTTGTTCTCTTGGAAGAAGAAAAATGTGTATTGTTCCATTGCTTTCATCTTGGCAGGCTAGGAGTGGAAGACTTGTTACACAATTTCAATTTGATTTTTATTTCTATTTGTGAAAGACTCCCTTGTTCTGTATGTCCTGTCAGTTGAAGAAGTGCCAGTATTACAGAGAGTATAAATAGTTAAGTTGTATTTCCTTTCCAACAACTCATTTCTCTAAAGTTTTTCACTTAATTGCAAAATGTTGGAATCATTTTAATTTTCAAGTTTTTTATTATCTACATTAAAACATGATAAAATTATAAAATTTTTCCTCTAGGTGTTCTATGTATCTCATTTGACAAGAAATGCCTAATTCTGCGGTTTGGTCTTGACGCTTAAGAGTGTCTGGCTATAGTGATCAAATTAAGTGCTACAAATTAATTTCCCTATCAAGCATAATTGCCAACTAATATAAAAATATTTTCCCAAGGATTTTAAAGATCTGATCCCACTCTTATTTAAAGAAAAAAAAAGTTTGGTTTTCTTCTAGTGGACTAAATTGATGACTTATATCTTACTAAAATAAAGAGAATAGCATATTTTATATCTGTGTTCCAAGGGTCTAAATGTCATCAACTTTTTAGCTAAAGAGGAATGCACTGATTCTTTCTGTGTGTTCATTTCTGTAAGTTATACAGTCCAGTGGAGCACTGATAGAAACCTCCCTAGGATACATGGTATTTGGAGGTTTGCCTTGGTCCATAATCATACTGTACAGAAGCAGCATTTCAGGACTGTTGTCCAAGATGAATGAGACAACTCTGTCCCAGTATTAAAATGGTATCAAAAATATCTAGACCTTACACCACACACAAAAATAGACTCAAAATGGATGAAAGACCTAAATGTGAGACAGGAATCCATCAAAATCCTAGAGGAGAACACAGGCAGCAACCTCTTCCACCTCAGCTGCAGCTACTTCTTCCTAGACACATCGCCAAAGGCAGGGGAAGCAAGGGCAAAAATGAACTATTGCGACTTCATCAAGATAAAAAGCTTTTGCACAGCAAGGGAAACAGTCAACAAAACCAAAAGACAACCGACAGAATGGGAGAAGATATTTGCAAATGACATATCAGATAAAGGACTCATATCCAAAATCTATAAAGGACTTATCACACTCAACACCCAAAGAACAAAGAATCCAAGCAAGAAATGG